GAAAGGACGCCTATGGGGTATGCATGCTTTACAAAAACAAAAGAATAATAAAAAAAGTGGGGAAAAAATTAAATCAAAGATTACCCCCCACACACATTTAAAAGTCAGTCGCGCGCTTACACATGCATACAAACCAGCACAGGCAGACAGACATAATCACTTAAATCCAAACACAGGAACCAACAATGCCACTCCTGGTTGCTATGCTGCCGCTGGTGGTTTTTAGTAGTTGCTGATTTGTTATTATTGCTGTTTTTGTTGTTGTTGTTATTCATGTTGTTGTCGTTTTTGTTGTTGTTGTTAGTGCAGTATAAATACAACCACATGGCGCATAATCATAACGCTTAAATTATAATAACTTTATTAAGCAGCAAACAAAATTGTTGTTGTAGACTTTGGCAACATAGAATTACAATAAAAACAACAACTACACGTGCAATACACAGCGGCCAGACCAAAAACAAGTAACAAGAAAAACGGCAGCTACAATAAAAACACTGCTAAAAACATGGTAAAGTGCAAGTACTTTTGTAATTTGTTTTAGTTGTTTTACTTTTCTTTATGCTCCTTTTTTTCCTTTTGTGTTTTTTAATGAGTAGGAAAAATAACAAGATACTCCATAAAAGTTATATATACACTTATACTCCCAGAAACAAACACATACACTAACACAAACAGGTGTATGAGCTCTATGCCCATATAAAGCTATTAATACACAATTTTTTTAAGTGTTGTTGGTCTGTTGCTTATTTGTTGTTGTTATTATTGTTGTTGTTGTTAGTTTTGTTTTTATATCAAGTGGCGCATAATTTTTTTCCTCACGACTTTTCATGTAACTTTTTTTGAATTTTGTATGAGTTTAGTTTAGTTTATTTTTTTTTTTGTTTTGTTTTTTCAATTTTAAAGCATAATTTTTTCTAGGAATATTTACGCGAGTGTGTACTTCATTATGCCCACATAACACTAAGAATTACAAGTACGCGGGTATGTACAACATTCAAGTGGATGCTTCAACCATTTTTCGAAATTACCTCTTAATAAAAAATGGCCATTTTGAAGGACTTTGTTGTAACTACCTTTTTCCTATCTTGTTTTTCATATTTTTGCTTTTGTTTTTATTTTAGTATTTTTGTTTTGCCATTAAAACGTACATCATTGGTGGTCCGCTATTCATAAATTTATTCAATTTATTCTGCTGTTATCGTACAAGTTGTAGTCTTGCCAAGGCAGGCGTTTGTCCATCATGGGCGTCCGTCCGACGGATGTACTATATTCCATGGCAAGTAACAAGTGGTAAACAGCAAGTTAAATTCCTAACATTTAAATCATATTAAATTTTAATTTAAATGTTTTTAAATAGTAATTCCGCCTTAAGCTTTAAACTTTCTCATAGTTTTTTATGCACTTATGGATCAAGTTAAATATATAAAGGAATTTTATTACTTCAATTTAATATCTCTAATATCTTAAACACCATCTGGTATTTTATAACCATAAGAGAAATCATGACTCAGAAACATAGACAATGACGAAGGCGGGTGAAGACGCTTTAAATATTTCTGAATATTGAATATTATTTTTGCCAAATAAGCAGAAGAAATCACCATTCTTATTTTAGAGTGTCACAAAACGTGAAAGACATTGGTGTTTTCTCTTAAACTGTGTTTCAACATTTCACTTAAACTGCCGAACCAAGCACACTATTCTTCAGCCAGCAGTAATGGTGATTTACTACACTGCAAAATCGGTACTAAGCTACAAGATCCCTGATGTGAACATCATAACTTTCTAACACAGCCATGCTGCTATCAAGTCTACGATAAGCGCTGTAGTTACACCCTTAACAACTCGAAATTGGTGGGCTCCTCTTAACGAGCTAGCTGCGTGGATCAGTATCTTAATCACATAGGCACCAACCTACAGAGACATCTCGAGCAACTACAGGGCAGATAAGTATATCAAAGCAGACACTCTGCTTTGTGAGAAAACTGCAACTATTTATTTATTAATTTTTCTTTTATTTAAAATCCATTAAATATCACTCATAATAAACTTATTTCTTAAGTTAATTTTTAGAGACTAGGTATAGTAACTCAATTTTAATCACTTGTCGACTTGAGATTTCTGAAAATTACTGTGTAATATCAGTCATTTAAGAAAATGAGTCTTGACGTTCTAAGAAATATAAGATTTCTATTTAAAATCATCTTAAACTTTATTAAAAGGTTCCAGATAGTTTTAAATCAATCGTTGTCCTCAGATGTTGTAAAGAGTCTTATTCGACTATAAAATCCATATTTAAAATTATATTAAATTTTATGAAAGGGTCAAGATAGTTTTAAATTATCCTTTTAAACGCAGATACCAGAAAGACCACTACACACGTTCAAGAGGGTCTTAGTCAACTACAAGGTCTTTAATTAAAAGACTTCTTAAGTTTTATTAAAAAGTCCATATAGTTTTAAACCAACCTATTTTCCTATTGTGTAGTATGACCCGATAGGTCAGTTTTGTTTTCATATTACTTAGGAAGGGTAAATTGTGTAAAGCATTTATTTGCTAATTTTTTTTTTTTTTTTGAATACACTGCCAATTTCAAGAATAACATTTTTCAAATATATAAGTTTATTTAAATATAAATCACGATGATATTCTATATATGATTTTAAAATAACGATTTGACAATGTCAAAAAATAATTTTTACGGGTCAAAAATTTATTTCTCGACCAATGTAAATGCGTCGCTTAATTATGAATTTTAAATTTAAACTCATAAATTATATTTTAACTGATTTTTATATACAATCATTACAACAATTGCAGTGGTTTCTAAGTCAGAATTATATCACGAATTTATTTTGTGTTATTTTGTGCAGTTAAAATGAATATAAATTCTAGAGGAATTGTAAAACTGATCATTACATAAGAATATATAAAAATATTTCCAGCTGATTATTTACACACATAGATAAATGCTTATAATTTATTGTACATATGTCTATTTTTCTATCTATATGTACTTAATTATTATGCACTGAATTTAATATGACTTTAATGTATTAAATGTTTGATATTGTAGGCGTTTCAATGATCGTAATTTCAAGTCGAAATGGCACTTTAGTTAATAAAAGTCATGACGTATGGTCGTCTCCTAACACGACTTACAAAAATTTTTTTATTTGAAAGTTTTGAAGCCACCTTGAACTAATCCACATAGAACCTTCTCAAATGAGAGATTCTTGCATTTGGTTTTATTTTACAACACTGGCAACAATCACCAAACCAAGAAATAAATTTTATTAAATTTTACACGAATAAATCGTTTTTATTTGCAATAAATCTTTTTAATTATTTTTCCTAAACTTTTTCTGTTAGAGTATTAAATAAATATTTTAATTGAAATGTTTAAACAGTGTCAATGCAATTAAGAAATGACACTTTAATTACTTAAAAATATTTGTTCCGAAATAAATATATTTGAAGTAATTAATATATTAAATTGATTTAAATTAAGTCAATTAATTACTATTACATTGAGTTTTAAATACTAATTTTTATTTGTTTTTATCAGTTTGAGATATTTTAAATATCATAAATAATATAAAAATATATTAAATTAATATTAACTCTCAGTACTGACTTAAGTCATGCTTAAGTCATCAAATTAAGGCATACGTTTTTACTAACTTAATTCGTATTTAAGTCAGTTTTTCAGACTTAAGTTTCGTCTGTGAAATTAGCTCTATGCTTTTTATTACAATAAACGTATTTACATTATTATTAAGCCTGCTTACAACTTTCATTTTAATAAGTTGCTTGATTTCAATAGTAAAAACGTTTATTCGAAAATTATTATTGATTACTTTATGCATTAAACAGTTTGGCCTATATATTGTATGTATTTCTCTTTTTGTTTTAAGAATTTAAAATTAAAATCTCTTCACTTAAATATTGCTTTTCATATGCACAATTGTCAGTAATTTACTTTTAACCAAAATGGCTTTACTTGAAGTTGTAAAAATTTTTAGTTAACATGAGATACTTTTTGCTTCACGAAGTTCATTAGGTTATTTTGCGGTCATAATTACCAGCACAATACACAATACCAGCAAAATTATAAATAATTTCAATAAAGTATGTTAAAGTAAAAAAATATTTAAAAAAAGTGAAAACTTTCACACCTTAATCAAGGCAAAAGAGAATACACACAGTGATATTTATATAATTCAAAAAGATACTGTAAATAAACTATGTCAGCTCATAAACTCGTACGGATCAATAAACTTCACAGACTTCTTTCGATTTTTTGTTCGGAGATGAAATGTTTAAACTTTTGCCTGCTTTTTACTTGATTTTCCACGCAGCATATCCGCAAAATAGCCTCATTGAGCGAAGCAAAATGATTTATAAACCCGCAACGATAAATACAAAAAAATATATAAAACCAAACCATTTATCATAATCATTGTGATTGATTCGTTATAAGAAAAAATCAAGAAAATATTAAGTAAAAAATTTGAAAAAATGAAAAGATAAAAACAATTCGATCAAGTCATCAATCGTTTGGAAATAAAAAATGCGAGTAAAAAAAATGTTTAAAGAAAAAGTGGAATTATAACGCGAAAAAAGTGATCAAGTCACACATTTCTGAGCAGGTTTGAAGGAATCTCAAATTATGCAGTCACTTAAGTATGTGGCCAAGCCAATCGATTGCAGCTCGACTTGTTAACCATAATGCGCATAAATATGATTGCACCAATTTTTTATTGAATTTCCTCTTGAACATGGCTCTAATCATATCACATTGATCGGTCCTCTTACCTCGCCAAAGGTATCGAACCGGTTGCACAAAGTAAAGGCATTTGCCAATTATTTCAAACAAGAACTTTTTTGTAACAGCTCGAAGACAAAAAAACATAAAAAGAATTAAAATATATATTTATATGAATAAGCATTTTCAAAAATTCAATATTGATATGATTATTTTATATATTTGCAGATTTGATCAACCGCTTGCAGCTTACGAAGACGGAATCAATGCTCATGCGGCAGGCTATTTCCAATCATCAACGAAGACACCAATAAAAGCCTGGCAAAAACTAACACAAGACAGCTAATTTTATTGCTAAGCACAATAGAAAATGTATCCCCGCCTGCCCGGTCCGATTGGAGCGGATATATTTCTTGGTGCTACAACAACGGTGCGTTCAGTGTTCCCCAACTCACGCTTAGATTCATTGGCAAATTTTCATCATACCTCACCAACCGAAGCGCCAATATATGGCAATCAATTACTATCGCCATTCGATAGAACGTCGTTGCAAGATTATGCAGCCACAGCAACCATAAATGATGATGCATTCGGTGCTGGTGCCGGTGTTGGTGCTGGTGCTGGTGCTAGTGGTGGTGATGGTGGTGCAACAGTGAGTAGCAGTTCTAATCCTCTAAACAATTACCTGCCTGAAAATGATGATGATTGGTGGTCGAATGCTATCGAAGAGGATACGTTTGAATCACCGCTTGCGTTCGATGCTAGCGAGAATGGTTTGTGGAATGGACGTTTTGTGCCCCCACCGCCGCGACCGCCTTTTCTTGATGAGAGTGTCGCCGCGGACGGACTTACCACCTGTGATTTATGTACGTGGGCATGGCAGCGCAATGCCTACTCACTGGACGGTTCGATGGGTAAGTTTTTAATAATAAGTGGGCTGATTTGGGTTGGGTTGATGCACCTTCACCTTGATTAAAAAATTACTAACCGCAAAAAATATTCTATCTTATAAATTTTTATAGCAGAGCAAAAAAAATTATTATTGAAAACTTTTCATAATTATTTGCGTTAAAGTAAACTGAAACTTTGTTTGGCAGCGCTAACCTGTAGGATTTCACTTTTAAATTAAAAATTCGCTATTGCAAATCGACACATGGTTAATTTCTTGTGGTTGTTGTTGTTGTACAGAAATCGTTTGATCAGCTAAAACGATCGCTGGCATAATTTATCATATCAATTAAAGTTGGCGATTTATCATATTTTTCCATGATGCGTGAGGAGCATATTTGCAGCACTTAATCTGGACCAAATGAATTTCGTTCGATTTGTGTAGGTCTTGTTATCTCCTCGCATACAACCGCACTAAATGCTTTGTATTTTCCAATTTTATTTAGCGCTTATTCGAGTATCTTCCTAGATCAATTAGGTTAAGCGTTGATGTTAACTTGCTCGATAAGTCATTTTTAAGGTTGTGTGGATAAGATGGCAGATAACGATCAGACATAAACTATTTTTAATTATTTAAAAAATTGTCTGAGAAATAAATTAAGTCAGGAAATCCAATTAATTTGTTTTATTTACTTTGTTAAATTTAATTTTCGTTTAAGAGGAAGTAAGATACAAAACACTGTTACTTTAGTTGCAACGGTATTTTTTAAAGAAGATATCATGTATAAAAACTAAAGGTTATCAGAAAATTTTTTGTATAAATATATTTATTATTAATTTTAACAAGAATAGTAAATCAAATTAATATTACATTATTGGAGGTAAATACAACCAGCCAGCGAAGCCTAGCTTCAAGTCGTAAAACTGTGTAAGCGAGGATAAGAGTTTTAGGAGTATGAATAAAGTCTTATTAAATATAGTTAATTCGGCATGGTGATCAAATACTTTTTAAGAATGCTCATGAGTTTTGATTATCTGACGATAATTGGTACTGATCCTGACTTAGATCAGGATCATATAATTTTTTTTTTAATCGGATAGAAAACAAGTTTCTTATTTCAACCCTAATTTTGTTTAGCTACGGATTTAATAGAATTAAGTTTTCTTTATACATTGAGATAATGTAAGCTTTTACTCAGCATCTGATGTTGGATGGACCCTCAACAGTTTCTTTCGTTTATGTATCAATGTACAACGCACTCTGTATGTTTCATGATTCCATTGTCTTCTTACAAAAAGCACAAACTTCATACCTTCTATCTACAAATTATTAGTTTTAGTAGATAAGAACTCAACTCGCAGTGTCGTGTTAGAGTTCATGTACTTCTTTACTTAGTTGACCATTACAAACGTGCGTCGTCCTTGGTTACGTTGAGTAGCATCCGCTAGCCAGCCCGATTAGCTGCTTGGTGTCGGTAGTTGGTGGTATCTGGTTCTTCCACCGAAGATGCGGACGTCCTCTACCGTGTTTTTCATCAGCGGGTACCGAATCAAATACCTTTCTAGCCGGAACACTTTCTTCCATTAGCACGACATCACCAAACCAGCGAAGCCGCTGAAATTTAAGGCAATTGTCATTGTGATAGCCTTGACAAGATATCTCAGTATAGCTTGCCTTCTGAATAGATGAATGAAAAGAAATTGTTCCTTCCCAAATGATGTATTTCTCACTATATTTCCGTCTTAGTATATATGATAAAAATATGTTAATGTAAGAATGTATTAATGTATTATTTGGATTAATACAATGTGAAATCATTTCTGACCTCTCAAGATATATTCGATGGTTTATAGATTTGCTTAAGTAAGCATTCATCTTACCACTTGTACTATTAAGATTATTTTTCTCACATAAAATTGTCTTTTGCATATTATGAATTTGTGTAGTTTTATTTTATAAAAGAAGAATGAGATGTAATAATGTTTAAAATATTATTAAATAAATAATTTAATACATTTTATTACAGCATTTTTGAATCCATTTTCGCATGTCTGAACGACCAGAACCAGTCATCTCGTGCATGTCTAAGGAAAATTAATAAATAAAATTGTATCTGCTTTTGTGTGCAGCAATTTGCATGTAATTTTTGAGTTGTAGCACTTGTCCATTATATGCTTAAATGTAATTAATCATGAAAATTGTGATGTAAATATAAAATATACAACAAAATAGATATTAAAATATTAACCTAACAAGACCAAGAGTACAACTTAGGAAGACAACTTTTTTGCCTTTTGCTTGTAACTTGGAAGAATTTATTCTCTTGCAGATATTTACTTTATTCACGCAATTTTTCGGATATATATCTGAATGCGTGCACATATCTTTAATTATATTATATATTCCTCATTCAATTTTTTTATTTATTTAATATTAAGAAAAATTCTTCAATATGAATTTAAAACCTATGCATATGAATGCAGATATCTCAAACTTTTATCGTCAAATTTTTAAATTTAATATAAAAAAATAATACATTAATAAGATAATAAGACATCTTAGACTAATTCAAAAAGAAATTATGCTATTCTCTCTTCAATTTTATCATAAATAAAAATATTATAAGAGGGGTTTTGAATAACAAAGAAAGAAACAAAGGACAAACACAAAAATTTATTTTAATTTTATTGAAGTTTGGCTGACCATACAACGCTGTTTCGAGTATTGCCAAGTGCTCTTCATCAGTGGTCTTTGGAAATAATCGAATTTTATTTAATTATTTTATAGTCCGTATATAATTTGTTTGGACTGCAAGTGCCAGGCTTAGAACTATTCTAAAAATATTATTCAATTAAAACTGACCATCATAATCGATCCATCATAAACTATTGATTGCTACTACTGTTAAAATGCAGATATGGTTGATCTAAAATTTGTATAACACCCAAAACTGTCAAATATTTGACTGACAAATATTTTTGACAGAATAGTTTGATGGGAGCTAAATTCGGTTGCATCGATGGCTCACAAAATTCATATTTCAATATGTCTGTTCAGACCAATAAATTGTCTAACCTAGTGTCTAGTGTAGGAGATGATAACACAATGCGCTGAATAATATTATTTCATTGAATATCTTCTTAAGTTTGAAAAATATCTATATGATTTCATGGTTTGCTTGTTCATATAGTTCATAGTTGGGTGTATGTCATGAAACCATCAATCTTCCTTCTGCTTCAATCAAGATCAGCTAAAATTTCTTATCAGAGATCCAGAAAGTATGATGGCCGATTAAACCACATCTGCACCAAGCACAATAAATACTTATATAATCCCAGAATCTTGATTCAAAAGGAAATATATATAAAAGACTGAAATTTATCGTCGGAAAGTATGGCATTTGATTAGACCACAACTACATCAACAACAACAGATACTGTCATAAATTTACAGAAGCTTGACTTAGTAAGCACGTACTGAGACTTAAACCGACAATTCTGGAAAATTCATCGGTGTTACGGATTTATTATAGTCTTATTAGAGACTTAGAAAGCATGATAATGAACAATGAACAATGACTTTTATAAATTGACAGAAGCTTGACTAATGAAACTTGTCCGATATCAGTCTAATCTACGCGGTAATCGGAAATCCACACTGATATTTCTGCAAAATAAATCAGAATTAAAGATTAAATGTTGCTATTTTTAAGAAATTCCCACTTATAGAAAAAAGTGCGAGTATATATTATCATAGGTAAACAAAAAAATGTAACAATTAATTCTATTGTCAGAACTGTTAAGACAGTTGAGAATGGTTACCTTTCTACATATATGTTACACATATTTAACTTATTCAGTGACATGGGTACACAATATTTCTATTTAAATACGAACAAATCTAACATATGACCCTTGTATAATCGGACAGCATATTTGTTGAACATTTTAACACAAAAACATAAAGGAAACATTTGTTTTCGCATACAAAATACCTGCTCAAACGGTGCAAATATTTTATTTACCTTTAAAATAACTACATAGTTTCTGGTTATAATACCTATGCTGTGGTTTACCCCAACTCGCAGAGTCTGAATGCGCAATCTACAAATATTTCCAACGAAAATTAAGACATTAGTTCTAATATTGTTTCAACACGAGCACGACAGTTCAGTCAAACAACGCCTTGTTTCGCTTTAAATTTGTTTGCTGATGTCTGATAGCTGTTTTGGTAGTGCCACATATGCCAGCAGGACGTCCCAGCGGAGACGCTAGAATTGACTTTGCTGTTGTTGTGGCTGTCGTTTTTCTGAAATAATATAGTTGACACTATTCCATTTGGTATGTGAATTGTTAAAACCAAAAATTATTTCAAAACAAAAGGCAAAAAAGTATTTTTAAAACTACGAAATTCGCTTGAAATCGTCATCAAAGTAAAATAACAAATGACTGCCGCTGCCCAGGGTATAATTAGCGCTGAAAGTGGCGTATATGTCGTGGCATGGAACCCAACATAATTGCTTTATTTTCGCTACAATTTCAACCTGTTTTTTTTTATGGAAGCATATCACTATTAGAATGCCAGCATTTTACCTAGAAATGATTAGAATTGGTGTTAAAGGGAGTTTATCAACATCAGATAATGAATGGTTACTACTAGAGTAGTTCCAAGCGTGCCCAACAACTCAATTTATTTGTTACATTGCCTTGATTAATACATTGGTACCATTAACACAAGTTGTGCCCATGTCCATTAGTGAAAAGCTAAAATATGATGCAAATTAGTCACAACACAATTGATATGGAAATACAACAATAATGAGTTTAGCAGAGAAAAATATTTTAAATAAATATTTATAATATATTTCATATATACATTTTCTGAATAAACAAAAAAAAAAATTTTGGTATATATAGTCTGTTATCTGCAATTACCAAGATTTCCTTAGACCAATAACGTGCTTTTCGTTACTCTGTAATCCTAGTAAGTCTTTTTCTTAACAGTTTCTTTAATTCCTTAAAGAGC